ATTTGAGGTTCAGATTATGAGGTGAATTGGATATTAACTATGTCTGCAATTAACGAATTGGATATTAACTAATTTTGAGGTTCAGATTATGAGGCTGCAATTAACGAATTGGATATTAACTATGTGAATTGGATATTAACTAATTATGAGGTTCAGATTATGAAAATTTTACGCAATGTAGAGGCTGTAATTTTGTAGTCCCGCACACAGTTATAGGGTACGGTGCACACATCCCAGAACCCAAAACCAGGGTAAGAACATGTTACGGGATGCAATGGTTTCGATTATTACCGGCCACGCACACAGGTAAATGGTCCGGAGCACGCATTCCAGACCCCAGTTAAAGTGAATTACCACACTTGCTTCCACCTTAGGGCAGTGAATGAATGACGCAATTGGGTGATGCACACACCATGCAACTATTAGTAAACCTTATTGAGAGTAATAATATTTGAAGGGTCATGCACATCATAAAATATGCAACACATTTTAATAATTTTTTAATGGTCAACAAGTGAAGATCAATATGCAAGCAGTGTACAAGAATGTGTAATGACGTATGAATCACTAAAGGTTTTCTCATGTGTAATTGTTTGCTATTCATTTTAATTTTTTTTTTTCTGTTCTGTAGAAGAACATGTTGTCTGAGTTTTTCAAGTGTATTGATATTGTCAGGTCTGCCATCTGTGCAAATTTGGTTGCCAAGAGGATGCATATGTTTTGGCGTGATTCTAAAAATAAAGTCGATTGTGGTGTCTATGTCATGCATCACATGGAGACGTATGTAGGGCAAGGTGTGTCGAATTGGGATTGTGGGTTATACAAAGATGAAACTTCTGAGTTGCAGCGCCTACGATTACTGTATTTGAAGGATATTGTTGTTTTAGAGTTCAATGTTCACATATATGTAGGAATCTAGCTCAGGCATTTCAATTTATGACTACTCCATTGGTTACCAGTTAGTTTTTGATTTGCCAATATGAAGTTTGTAGGTTGTGATTTTTATTGGGATAATGTTTATTCATGAATGTTGCTAATGTTTTTAACTTGGTTTAGTAACTTGACCTATATGTTTTGTTCTGTGTTGTGTGTTGTGTGCGCACAATTTATTTATAGGGTGCGCACATTGCCTTAGTGTTGTGTTACGTTATATACATTAGGTGCACACATGATTTGGCTTACGTGCACATGATTTTTCATTGTTGTACCCTAACCAACAATCGACATATTATATTTTTGAGCGCATGTGTTTTGAGGATTTTATGCACACAGACCAAGTGTTGTTTCGCAATTTCGTGTTATTATTTAATTTTCATCCAACGAAAAGCTCATTCACATCACATTAAATTAAAAAAAAAAAAAAAGAATGAAATCAAATTACTAAGTTTTCATTTTTTCCTTCCAGTATGTTCAATTTTCACATTTATATGTGCACACAGTTTTGCGCAGGATGCACACGTAGCGCTAGGGTGTCATGATTGCGATGCACACAGTTATGATTTGGAGTGCACGCATGGATGAACAAGGAACATTAACCATTTTGCAGGCTTAGTGTACACAATTCAGTGTGTTTGTGTGCACGGTGTTTTTGATTTGCAACATTTGTGCATTAATGTGATTGGGTGGATGTACATGTGCCTAAATTACTTATACTGCAAAACGATATGTATGCTAAAGTTGTCTTGTATAAGAGGAAGAGGAATGCACATAATTCTACACATGTATGCACAAATGTGCCCACTAAGAACAAAAAAAAAAAAAAAAAAAAAAAAAAAAAAAAAAAAAAAAAAAAAACATAGGCATTTATAAATTGTCATCTATGAGCAAAAAATGTGAGATATATACAATATTGACAACAAAAATCTGCAATGTGAAAGAGGCGCATACTATAGCTGAATACAATGTTAAGAATAAACAGCAAACACCCACAAAAGGGCATAACCAAAATACAGTTTAAAATTTAATGAAAATAGCAGACGACGCCTTAATCTCCACCCTTGGAACGTTGCATCCACTTCTGCAGTAAGCTTATGGTCAGGGCATTCAAAAACCATGTCATCTTGCAATCTTACTAGGAAAGACAAAGGTGACGAACTGTGCGAGACACCAGGTTCAAACTGAAATACCTTTACCTTCTTAACTGCAACAACCATTAAAAAAAAAATGCACAAATCAATATATTAAAAAATTGCACATACTTCACCACAATAATCATGCACAGAACTACTACACATAACAGTAAATAGGTGCACACACATACTTTAAAATCATCCATCGTGTGAGTAATTTATTCATTGAAAATTATAGGAATGCACAGTCTAATGTTTTGTATGCGTATTAGGCCATTCTGTCATTATTTACATGCACACATAGATTCACACGTTTGCTACTATGAATTGAACACAACACACATGTTCTGTCGTGCACACATAATAGTTGTTAGATGCACACACAATAAGCAACGTTGTACACAGTCACACAGACCAATGCACACGGTCACTACGAAAACAAATAAAAAAACCCTCATAATACACTATAGAACAAGACTGCACACATTCATACCCCACCATGCACACAGAACACAAGCAGTCAATATTTAAAAAAATCAAAGATACTTGATACATAGAATTATTAGTTGTACAAATTACAAATGCTATCAATATTTTGACATTGAAATAAAATTTATTATATAAACAAATGCGCAAACACAATTATAAAGTTTAACCCTACTTAGGGTTTTTTTTTTTTTTTTTTTTTCAAAATACTAAAGAGGAAGAAATATAGAAAACTAGTTAGATAACTCTACTAGAACAAGTAACACCAACCCAATGAGCAAAAAGTCTAGCTAAAATAATAACTCTCGCAGGAATTTCAAAGAAATACAAATCATGATTGTGAGATATTCGTAATTTGTTGTTATATTTAGTTAGTACATGAATTTGTCTCTTTAAAATGTGCTTAATTAATTAAATATGTCCAACCTCGAGACATAATATATAAGTAACTATCACAAAAATATAATGTTAGAATTTTAACTTTACAGAAGCTCAATTAAATAAAAATATATTAATCCCTAAGACAAAATATAAGATTTCCTTGTGCCAGGACACTACTACAGAAATGATATACTACGTCGCTTAATAGAAGGCGGTTTTTTAAATAACCGTCTTCTATTATATTTTGTTATACTACGACACATAATAGACGTCGGTTTTCTAAATAACCGCCTTCTATTATATACTACGGCACATAATAGACGGCGGTCTTTAAATAACCGCATTCTATTATATATTACGACACTTAATAGACGGCTGTCTTTAAATAACCGTCGTCTATTATATATGGCGTCACTTAATAGACGGCGGTTGTTAAATAATCGCCTTCTAATATATATTTACGTCACTTAATAGACAGCGGTTTTAAATGACCGCCTTCTAATATATATTTACGCCACTTAATAGACGGCGGTTTTAAATAACCGCCGTCTAATATATATTTACGTCAATTAATAGACGGCGGTTCTTAAATAACCGCCGTCTAATATATATTTACGTTACTTAATAGACGGCGGTTGTAAATAACCGCCTTCTAATATATATTTACGTCACTTAATAGACGGCGGTTTTAAATAACCGCCGTCTAATATATATTTACGTCAATTAATAGACGGCGGTTCTTAAATAACCGCCGTCTAATATATATTTATGTCACTTAATAGACGGCGGTTGTAAATAACCGACTTCTAATATATATTTACGTCACTTAATAGACGGCAATTTTAAATAACCGCCTTCTAATATATATTTACGTCACTTAATAGACGGCGGTTTTAAATAACCGCCGTCTAATATATATTTACGTCAATTAATAGACGGCGGTTCTTAAATAACCGCCGTCTAATTTATATTTACGTCACTTAATATACGGCTGTTGTAAATAACTGCCTTCTAATATATATTTATGTCACTTAATAGACGGCAGTTTTAAATAACCGCCTTCTAATATATATTTACGTCACTTAATAGATGGCGGTTCTTAAATAACCGCCTTCTAATATATATTTACGTCACTTAATAGATGACGGTTCTGAAATAATCGCCGTCTAATTTATATTTACGTCACTTAATAGATGGCGGTTGTAAATAACCGTCTTCTAATATATATATTTACGTCACTTAATAGACGGCGGTTTTAAATAATCGCCTTCTAATATATATTTACGTCACTTAATAGATGGCGGTTCTTAAATAACCGCCTTCTAATATATATTTACGTCACTTAATAGACGGCGGTCGTCGTGTAAAGGTGTGATACTCCATATTTTTTTGGGCATTGTACGAGGACCGTATGTGCATACGACTAATTTTATTAAATTTTCCTAAATCAATATTATTCATTAAGCTTAATAGTTTCTTAATCCAAGAAAACCTAGTATTTTCTAATTATATACATGTGCACGTATATTATGTTCCTACATAGCATAATTAACCGTCTCCCTTGTAGTCTGATGGCATCCGGTATGGATTTTCAAAAAGGCAGGCTCGGGATCGATTCCCATCCCAAGCATGGGTTGGAATGTTGTTGATAAAAATGATCTTGGGCCCTACACTGCACCTTGAGCTCGGGACCTTGAGCCCGCCCCCCCGAACTATATGGTTGAGCCCCCCTGAACCCCGAGTATAACTCGGATTGTGGTGTGCTTGATACTTGTGAACCAACGGGAACAGGATTACAGGGTCCCTAAAGAAGCGCCCCCCCCCCCCTACCAACCGTAACGAGCATCTGATGTATAAGAACCGTCGTCTATTTATATGAGCGGTTCTTCAAGAAAAGCGTCGGTTCAAATAACTGCCGTAAAGTTTTTATTTACAAAGGCGGCCACTTACACGGCACTTCAAGAACCGCCGTGGTAAGTGTGTTTTGTAGTAGTGGGAAATTCAAAACATAAAATAAAAAAGCTAAAGAATTAAAAAAAAAAAAAAAAAAAAAAAAAAACTATATTAAAGCTTTAAACTCAAATCAATCCCTGAAGCATCTTCTTGATCTTGTCCCTTATCCTCATCTCCCAATAAAGGATTACTTTTACCTCCATTTTTTGAATCATCATCTGCAGAAGTATGATTATCGTCAACTTTAATAGCAGAACCAAGCTGACCCTTATTGATCTCCAATTTAAACGAATTTGCGACGAAACCTGTCGTCCCAAAAGCGTTGCCGCCATTATTTCCTTGAATACTCTCCGGCCGTGTTAGCAGTGATCTCGGCGACCACTTCTCGCCGCCGAAGCGAGAGTAGTTAGAATTCTCCGCCAAAAACGAGGGATGATGATAGGAAGACGGCAGCCGATGAATAGCAGACGAGTAATTGGGCATTACGCCGAGCGATCGATTGCCAAAAGAGTTATAAAACGGCAAATGCGACGAAAACGCCGAGTAGGGGTGGTAGTAAGGGTGGTAGTGCGCCACCGTGTCCAACAACCCTTGCCGCCTTTTCGCCAAGGCACGCTCTCGTTTATGCGCGTTCTGGTGGCCCCCGAGAGCTGGGGAAGTCAAGAACTCTCTTTTACAGAAATTGCAAGAGAAACCTCTCTCAGACTCAAAATCTCGATGTTTAGCAGGCTCTCCCTTATTCGGGGAGTTGTTAGGCGGGGGAGAAGAAGTCGTCATGACTCTAATCCAAAGGAAATGTGGATCGAAATGACGAAAGTCTGGAATGGATTACCTTTTTAAATAGAGGATGAAATAAATATCCCAAAAATGACCAATTATGGAAACAATGCATATTTTTAGACAACATTAAACCTTACCGATTCATATCAAATTAGACTGGGAGATGATCAAGTTTGCAAAAGGCTAAATATCTTCCAAATATTACAAAGTTTTAATATGATTAGTATCTGCAACTTTAACTCCACTATTTTACGTTTATTTAGTTCAATATAATATAATTTTCCATGTATGAGTTCAGTGTATGATTAGTATCTGCAACTTTAACTCCACTATTTTACGTTTATTTAGTTCAATATAATATAATTTTCCATGTATGAGTTCAGTGTATGATCTCAAAAAATACAAATAATTAGTGATCTGAGTTGTTTCTTCTCTCCTCCTTTAGTAATTTTTGTTTTTCTTTTTTTGGTTTGATATATGTATTTTACAGAATATTACACCATTTGACCTATACTACGTGTACTTACTTTTCATGTCATATTTATTAATTACTTATAAATCGAAAATGATCGTGTTATAATTTAATTAAAAGAAATTTGTACAATAATATCAATCGGCACAAATTTCATTACTTGTCTTGTATAGTTGGATACAATCATGCATTTTATATCTGATTGCTTAAGATACTATAGGACAATTGTGAATAGTACCCAATACAACTTATAGCATACATTTTCGTATTTAGTTCAAAAAGATGTCAATCAACAATTTAGAAAAATCTCTAAGTAAATAAAGAGAAAATACGCAAATTAAAATAGTCATTCAACTATGTTATATTCTCAAATTGGTCATCAATTACCAATTCATCCAAAATGATCCATCAACTATGTAAAAATTTACTCAATTCAGTCATTAGTGTACGTAATGAGGGACTAAAATGAGTACAATTTTACATATTTGAAGAACAATTTTTGATGAATTGATAGTAAATGACCAATTTGAAAATTATAAAATTATTAATGGCCCATTTTAAATATTAGGTCTTAAATAAATTCACATCATAAAATACAAAAGTTGGTGCAGTGGTGGGAAAGATTTGATGCAATAATATTATGGATAATCCTTATTATTTAATTTGAAGTGACAATATATCATTCATATTTTACTAATTAATAAATAAATTTTTAACACATGCGGGATCGACTAATTCATGATAACTAATAATGAATAAAAGAAATTTCTTCCAAAAGAAAAAAATATTATTTCTACATCATAACGTAAAAGATTTTGAAAGAAAAAAATTTGTTACAATATCCCAATATTATTGTTTTTTTTTTTTTTGAGTAGTACTGACTCTTGTTACAATGTAGTATCTGTTCATAACTACTTTCTCAAGTACTAAAACATACAGAGTCAATGCTACCCACACTGGAGATCGAACTCATAACCTCCTATTTGGGAGAGCTACTCTGTGCCCAATATTATTGTTCTTTATTATTATTTTTTTTAAGTGTTAATCATTAGTTGGAGAATGATAGAAAATTAAGATAATGGAGATGTTTATAAAAACAGAGATTATTTTGGGTAAGTATTGGGAGATTAATTGTACATTACTGTATTCCAGATTTCCAGGTGGAAAATGGTAGTCTTAATGAAGATTTCTACCTTTTCAAAAAAAAAAAATGAAGATTTCAAATTCCAACAACTGTTGAATCAATCATGGATTTAATTGTGTATTTATGATGTCATGAAGTTCCAAGAAATTTTAACTCTCATCACCACTAAAATCCCACTAATTTTGGGTGTCTGTATCCTTAGTTTCCTTGTACGGAGTATTTTAATTACATTACTAATTAGTCTTAATTACATCAAATAATAATTATAATTGTAATAGCTTAGAATCTTAGACCGGCAATTTGGCGTGACACAACAGATTTTTTTTTTCTTGGACACTTATTCTCGAGCTTGCATTTGTTGCAAGCCTTGCAATTTGCAAATGATATTTGTTAGAAAAAGTGACTTTTGTGTTCTTTCAATTCCTTGGCTTTTAAAAAAATAATAATAATAATTGAAAAATGGTGTTTGTGTTGGTGTTGGTGTTGGTGTTAGCGTTGTTATTATATTTTGAGATATGAAGAAAACAATTGTGAATTGTAATTTTGATGGTATGACAGTAGAGTTCAATTTTAAAAGTAATACAGTATTTCAATGACAAAAAAAATAACTTTACGAATTATTACAATTTATTTTTAGAAAAAGTGTTTGGTCAATATTAAGATTTTAGTTAATAAGGTGGTAAGTTTTGTCAAGACCAAGCGCTTACCACTTACCATTAACCCAAAAGCAGGGGTGAATTAAGAATAATCATGTTGGAAGGGCCAAGTAATATAGAAAAATTGCAATATCAATCGACATCAGTACAAATCATATCTGATATATAGCATTATATATGACATACATGATTGTAATAAGTATTATTTGACAATGATTTATAATGATACTCTCTATACAATAATGTGTAAAGTACATAATTATACAAGTATGATTGGCACTCATGGCGATTGTTATTTTTAAAATATTCAAATAATAAAAAATACATGCAATAATTAAAAATATTGTATTTAAATATTATTTGTCACTCTTTTATCAAATAAAAATTTTCAATTATTTTGTTGACAATAATTTTTTATAATTAAATGATATTCATTTTACTGATTTGATTAACTGAATAATATTTTAAAATTTGAGGGATGATGGGGAATATTCACCGAGCATATGTACCATATACCTGCTCGGGACTCCATCTAGTTACCCTGAGGAACGGTTACTGATCTCGATCGACCCGACCTCGCTGCAAGAGCCAAGCAAATAAATAGTCAGTGTACAATGTACACCTTCTACCTTACCTTGAGACCGGTATCGACCCTGTGGAGTCGGGACGAGTATCCCGAGCAAGGCAACTTGGAGCGCATTTAACTAAGATTCCTAGTCTCAACCTGATCTTATTACCTAGTGGCCAGTTAGGAATATCGTAACACGTGAACTCCACAATACAGCAGCTCGAGCTTGCCGACTGCATGCGCGACACGGGTCAGACATGCTGAGAGCACGACATGTGCCCCTCTCAATTCCTATAAATAGCGCATTAATTGCGAAGAGAGAGACTTTTGACATTTATACCTAACCTTAAGGAGCTCGGGACGCTCCGACCCACTGTCACCTCTTCTCGAGCTCGACTATTGAAACCAACAAACAGACTTGTACAATCTTACGAAGCAAATCCGTATACAAACACTTTTCTACGTACCCTGGTGTATTTACTCCGGTGTATTTACCACATCAAGGGACAATTTTTTTTTTTTTTAAAAACCAATATTATATTTTGTCAATTCCAAATTTAATCTTTTAAATTAGCAAATGTATATCTTAAAAGTGTAAAAAAAAAAACATGTAATAAATCATTGATTAATTAATCAACTAACAAATCAAAATAATGTCTCAATAGTGATAACTAGTAGTGAATGTACAATTATATATATATTTTTTATATTTGTATAATATCCAACATCATATTTCAATACCATGATCTTATACTTGATCCTCAAGCCTAGTGCCGAATAAGTTGTAGTTTATGTTGGTCAGTTGGTGTATTTATACATCCATGATAAATCAAATATTTTTTACATTATTATAAATAAAATTTATACTCATTTAATTTTGGTTATAAACATCACAAGGACGAAAAATAAAATTTTTGAACCAGATAATCTTTTCGCATACTGTGCACTAAATAAGATTAATTCAATAAAATTTTGATTTAGTCACAATCAGAAACCTTTATTAACGATTTTATTCCATTTGCAAAGTTGCAAACACACGAATTCGAAGTCTGAACTTCATGCTTAAGCCAACTCCTCATACAAAAGTAAGAAGTTTGGAAGGTAAATAAAAGTAGAGGGAGAAAGAATTAAAACATAGGTGAATTGGAAAGTAAAATGTGGAAGGTAAATAAAAGAAGAGAGATTAGAGTCTATGGGTGGGAGAGAGTTTGCTCTGATTAAATAAGAAAGAGGAAGGATGTATCGTTAATAGGACTACCTTCGGTCGGTTTCGGTCAGTCATAGGATTACCTTCGGTCGATTTCGGTTGGTTACGAAGGTCAAAAAATAATGTCGATTTTTCGGTTATTCAGTCGGTTATGTAACTGATCGACCGTTTGCTCACCCCTAGGAATGATGAGTGATAAATATTTAATAATAATTTTGATGGAGATATTGGACTAACAAGTTGGAGATAAGTTTAAGAAGATCTTGAGTTGAACTTTTATTTTTGGTTGAGGTTGAGTTAGCTTGGTTTGATGTGTGCAAGCTAGGTTTATGGGGTCTGTAACAGTTCTTTAGAGGTACGGTAACACGGTCGTTACAGAGCACTTGATCTGTTTGATTGTTAACCAAATGTTGTTACAAGACTTGCATAAGTGTCATGTATGTGTAGGAATGAATAAGTTTATAATACAATTTATTTATAAAAAATAAATATAATAAAGAGTTCAAAGTCTGAGAACATAAACCTAACCGGAAAGAACGAAAGTAAGGAAATTTAAGTCGTGTGTAATACACATTTTTTAAAAACTTATTCGCTACCTCCCGATGGTGTTAAAAGTGTTGTAACGTTAGTCTCTCAGGATAAAATGAGTACAGTAATATAGTTGAGCACTCAAGCTATATTACTCTAAGCAAATTAGAACACAAGGAGTTTAGAAATAATTTTTGAGAGAATTAGGAAAATCAAGAGTTTTGAGGTTGTTCAAAAACTAGCATAACAAATATGCCCAACACCACAATATTTTAGGATTAGAAGAAAAAAATAGCAATAAACATGGGCATTTAGTATCATATTTAAAATTAGATTATAACCTTCGAAATCGACAATTTAATATGAAAATTAACACTAGCACTTACAATGTTAATTCTTAAAGTAAATTGAAATTAATACGA